TTTGGGAAGAGAAAAGTTTTATTTCGCTGTTCCTTTCGGCTTGACCAAAACTGGACGATAACTCTGCTCACAGGACGCTGCCAGGGGTAAGTCAGTGTGATTGCATGCCACTGGTGATGGGGATGCCATACAGATTCATGTCAAAAATACCGAACTATCCCTTTAAATATGAACTAGAACAACATTGTTTGTATCATTACCTTTGAAACACCCAGTGTTGCCTGTGGTCAACGGCCAACCCTCCAACGGCCAACTAAATAAAATTAAAGCCAATACCTCTAGAGTCCATCTACTGTAGCTGCTTTTCTTTGTTTGATGAATAAAAGATAATTTCTGATTAAAAATATTTGCTGCTGATGTGGTATAAAGATATTCCCTAAGCATCAAGTTCTCTGCAGTTTGGCTATTCTGGTAAATCTAGTTTAATTGAAGACTGAAGAGCAGCAGATTGATCACTTGCAGCATTCGGGTTTGGTTCTACATGTAACCAGTCTAGTTCTGCTCCCATCAAATCCATTAGAAGAAAGGAAGGACATTTAGCAGAACTTTAAGAGACAGAGCCCGACACATGTACATTTACACACTTTTCCTGGATGTCTATTGAACCAAACAATTTTGTTCTAAATAATAAAACCGGAATCATGTCAGCGATGACAATACTAAACATTAAACCAGCAGGTTTATCTGTAAACGGGTGATATTATCCAGGCTTAAACAATGTAAAGCTGTGTGAATCAGCTGATCTCCTTTGAGGTTTCAGTTTAGCTGCCCTGATCAGTGTTACCACGTCGCAGGGCTGCATAGTATGTCACACGTGTATAACCACGGTAATATGTGTGATATTCACACATTTGTTGTTTTAATATCTGCAAACTTTATAAACATTTTTAAAGAAAACATTGAAAATAGACTAAAAGGTTTTCCGATATTTTAATAGCAACTAAAGTCCACAGTGGCGCTGATCAGCCCAGATATTCATGTGAGGTAACCACCAGCGTTTATGGGAATTAGAGCAAAGTATTTGCTCTTTTTATTCATTTCTTTCCTAAAATAATTATCTTTTTCGGGCCTACGCACTCAAAAAGTCACCAAAAGGCGCCGAATCATCCTGTTTCGAACTTTGGCGTATTTCAACAGAACTTTCAATGCACCCAAACATCAGTGTAACACAGACATCTAAAACTTGTCCACAGTCCATCAAGTCCACAGAAAAGCTTTATTTCACTGATCAACTCAGTGGTTGGGCAGTTTGATGACATCACCTTGGCCCTACCTACTTAGACAAGAAAGTTAGCTTCCTGGGATAAATGCAGAATGCCGATTTCGTTATAATCCAAGTATAAAACTCTGTCTAATAAGATAATTTATTTACAGTTTCCAAATTATACAGGAAGTCATTAGTGTCCCTTTGCCAACAAACAGGAAGTGGCATCAACACATACAGGAACCATGCCTGGAGCCAGAGCGATTTTAAGGCTGGTCTTAAGCGGCTTTAATTACTTGGATAATTTCTCCACCCACCTGTGGCAGAGCAGTGTTGAGTTGCCTCTGCAGGGAGTCCCTTTCATGGCTGACTTCATGCAGTTTGCTCTGAGTCAGACCCAGGTTCTCCTGGGTCTCCCTTAGAGTGTCCAGAAGGCGATCCCTCTCCTCCAGCATGGACACCATCAACGACTCAAAGTGACCCTCGGAGTCTGACTGCAGTGGGGACCCAGAGCCTCGGCGGCCGCTGCCGCTCCCCCCGCCGGGCCCTTCCGTCTCGCTGATGGTGGGCATCACCTCACACATCATCTTCAGCCATGTGGTGGTGAGGCGGAGCAGCGCGGATTCAGAAATGCAAGAAAAGAAAAGAATTAGATGAATATCATTAAATGTTTTCCATTTACTGTTTATGACAACATACATGAGTGAACATTACCAACATAAAGAACCCCCCATTCAACGGGTTTGGAAGACTAAATGGATCAACATCTTCTCTCCTGCATCTTCTGCTTCAAATCAGAGAAGTTCAAAGTCTAAAGTTTCACTTTAACCTCTTGATTTGCTAATAAAGTGAGAAAAATCTCAACATGAACAACTAGAAGCATGTTTCTCACTAATCCATTAATGTTGTTGAAGCTTGCCAGTTGCAAATATAACAGAAACGTGCCCTGAAGTTTAGAATTTCAACAGGGAGCAGCTCGGGGTTCAATATTAGCTATAGCTCCCAATAGAAATGACTGGAACTATTAGCAATATTCTCTCATTAAACTACTGTTACTCACAGAACAGTTAAAAGAATAAAACTTTTGGTTTTTGCGATAGTTAGAAACACAACTACCTATTTTTCTTGTAGTTTTGAACTTTAAGATGTNGGTACTAGTCTGCTCCATTCAGACTCATTTGCTGGTATTTCTGATGCCAGTTTAGCAGAGCGCTGGGCAGAGTTTGATCAACTAACAAAGAAAGAAACAGGCCAACAAACAGGAAGTGGCATCAACACATACAGGAACCATGCCTGGAGCCAGAGCGGTTGTGAGGCTGGTCTTAAGCGGCTTTAATTACTTGGATAATTTCTCCACCCACCTGTGGCAGAGCAGTGTTGAGTTGCCTCTGCAGGGAGTCCCTTTCATGGCTGACTTCATGCAGTTTGCTCTGAGTCAGACCCAGGTTCTCCTGGGTCTCCCTTAGAGTGTCCAGAAGGCGATCCCTCTCCTCCAGCATGGACACCATCAACGACTCAAAGTGACCCTCGGAGTCTGACTGCAGTGGGGAGCCGGAGCCTCGGCGGCCGCTGCCGCTCCCCCCGCCGGGCCCTTCCGTCTCGCTGATGGTGGGCATCACCTCACACATCATCTTCAGCCATGTGGTGGTGAGGCGGAGCAGCGCGGATTCAGAAATGCAAGAAAAGAAAAGAATTAGATGAATATCATTAAATGTTTTCCATTTACTGTTTATGACAACATACATGAGTGAACATTACCAACATAAAGAACCCCCCATTCAACGGGTTTGGAAGACTAAATTGATCAACGTCTTCTCTCCTGCATCTTCTGCTTCACATCAGAGAAGTTCAAAGTCTAAACTTTCACTTTAACCTCTTGATTTGCTAATAAAGTGAGAAAAATCTCAACATGAACAACTAGAAGCATGTTTCTCACTGATCCATTAATGTTGTTGAAGCTTGGCAGTTGGAAATATAACAGAAACGATCCCTAAAGTCTAGAATTTCAACAGGGAGCAGCTCGGGGTTCAATATTAGCTATAGCTCCCAATAGAAATGACTGGAACTATTAGCATTATTCTCTCATTAAACTACTGTTACTCACAGAACAGTTAAAAGAATAAAACTTTTGGTTTTTGCGATAGTTAGAAACACAACTACCTATTTTTCTTGTAGTTTTGAACTTTAAGATGTGACTTTGCTGCCGACCAAGGCGCTAACTTCTGTAACAAATCAAAAGCAGCATAAATCACACCACACACAAAGATATCCAAAGAATTTATCTGCATCATCTTCCATGACAAAGATTTCACAAGTGTTCCTGCCGTTAAAGCTTGTGAAATAATCACTACATGAAAGTTATTGTTCAAATTAAATCCCTTGAACTAACATCTAGTTATTAAAGGAGCTATAAGTAAAATGTCATTTTAGTTTAAGTCTGTCTAAAGTCGGTCCTCGGGGGACGCTGTCCTGCAGGTTTTACAGTTTTCTCTGATTTTAGCACAGCTGATTCTGATGAGTGAAGTTCAACAAAAGCCTGTTAAATCTGCTATCAATGAAAATCTACGAAAAGTAAAATTAGAGCTCAGAATAACTTATGCTAGAGCTGCAAAAAGAATCCCACCCCAGTCAGAAAGTCACACATCAACAGTGATGCAAATAGAAAGTTCAAAACCTTTGGAGAGTTCCAACACTGCAAAAAGACTCATTGATTGTTAAAGAAGAAAGATTTTGTACTTTTCATTGTAGAAGTTATCAACTGTACAGCTCAGACAATAAATAAATAAATTTAAAAAATCTAAATAATAGTGAGAGCTGCAGAGGTGAGAGATTTAAACTGGGAAACAGTTAAATGTATGAAAATGATAGGGATGTCTCGATCAGCATTATAGGCCTCTAATCCAATCTTTTTACCTCAAATCTAATTCAGTTTCAAATCCGGATGCGATAATTTGCCTTTAGTAATGAAATTTATAAAACTCATATATATTTTGGAAAGTAACTCAACTCCTTATAATAATTTCATTAATAAGCATTACTATTATCATTATAAATCCCATGAAATCTAAATCTTGCAGAAAACTAAAGGTCTGCATCAGTTTAATATTTAGAACAAAAGTAAAAAGCAAAACACTTATTTGGTTCAGTTTGGTTTGTCTGACATGTTTTGCTCTATGGGCCCCGCTGAACTGATGACCATGCAGTACGGCACGCTTTAAATTATAAGTTTCAGATTCAGTAGGGAAATCAGGCAAATGTCTGCGATCCAAATATCAGTAGTAAAACTAAGAACAACATTTTGATTCCGAAGTGACCTTGTATTGTTTCTCTAACTTTCCTGTTCAGGTGTGGGATGACTGTGTCGGCAATGCAGTGTCTGGAGGGCAGAGCGTAGCGTGGGTCCAAAACCTCCAGCAGACGTCAAAAGGCTGATTTATACTCAGAAACCCCAAGTCTAATCCTTCCAAAACTGATTCCAAAGCAGAGTCAAACGAGAACTGTTCAATAGTTGTTGCCATCTTCCTTGTAATGCTTTCTCCAGCGTCGCACAGCTTAGTCGTCAGGCTCTCAAAACCCCGCCTGCTTTGCATCCAGAAATTCAAAACACATCTCTGCGTTGTGATTGGCCCGCCAGTTCAGGGCCTGGGGCATTGATCGAGGCTAGCTAGACCACTCGCAGGCAAAAACGATTTTGGCCGCTGGCGAGTGGGGCTAGTTTACCAGGCTAAAAAACCTCCACTATACCTTTAAATTCAACATATGTTAACCTTACTTTATAAAATAATGAATGAGTTTTTATGCAAAGACTGAATCCAAATCCCATATATCTGATTTTAACAAAAATGCAGTAATCAGGGCCAACACATTACAAGGTAGGTGTGGCAATCAAGTAATTATTCTTGTACAACAGTTTCAGAAGGGAAAAAAAAATTATAAATAAAACTATATTTACATAACATTTACATCTTGCTTTGTTACCCAGGGCAAAATTTTCTGCACCTTTGTTCATGTTTTAATGTGAAAAAAATATATAATTACTATTATGTTTCACCAGCTCTGCTGCAAGCTGTCAATCACATTTCCCCGCCCACTCCCTTCAGATTGGGACCAAAATCTGAGTGTGAATAAAACTGATTTGAAAGTGTAAAAAAATTCTGAAACTGAAAAAAGAAAGAAGAGAAACTAAAAGAAAGGGATTTGAATCTGAAAATCTAAAACTGCAATAAAGAAAATAAATAAAAAAGAAAAAAGTAATTAAAATGCTAAACTGAAATTAGATTAAAGTATTAATTTATGTTTGCTTTTTTAGTTTCTCACAAGGTAGAAATTTTACTTTAAATATCAACTTCTATTTGTTCTGTTTCAGCTGAGATTTATGAGTTTACAAAGATTTTGACCCCTTTCTGACTCCATAGAAGACACTCCTGGCAGCTCTACCTGCTGTCATGTTACCAACAGTAGAACTATTGTTGCTTTCACGTGAAATTGTTTAATTCACCAAAAACACAGAAAAGTCACATTTCTCACTAGTTACTTTAAAAAAAAAAGGTGAAGGGGTCCGAAAAGTACCCAGATATGTTGAGGTCACTAAGTTGGCAACACTGGACCATCTCCTCCAGTTTTCCTTCAGTACTGAGAGCAGAGCGGCTCACTGTAGCCACCAGTTAGCTTCATACATTAACCATCTTCTCACCAAGACAGACAGGAACCGGCTGGGTTGGTTTTTCAAAATAAATCTGAACATTTCATGATATTTACATTTTAAATTATGATTAAAATAAGTGTGCAAATACACAGTATGCTAATATACGCTTTGTGTTGTTTTAACATACTTAGGTGGAAACCCTGCATGATGTTCCAGACTTCCTGCGATTTATTTAATCTAAAACATAAAATGGTACAGAGGAAAAGATAAAGCATTTATGGAAAAGTTTTAATCTAATTCTGAGGTAAGAATGAACTCATCCTGGCTTTCAAACTGTCCAAGCTTTGTTTACGTTCTTGCTCAGGCCCTGTTTTGAAGATCAGTGATAAGATAGTGACCAAGTTCAAAAGCACAGAGATGATTCAATCAGACTTTCTGGGCCACACAGAAAAAAAAGGAAGCCAATAATAAATTGTGCCAGAGATCTCCTGAAAACTTCATTTCCATGTCGACATTCTCCAACATGTTTCAGAGAAGAACAGACAGATGAAAGAAGCCTGGAGTTCATTTAAAAGATGCTGTTGTTGCAACAGTTGGGAAAGGAGCTGTGGGGGAACTTGGAGCCAATCCCTAAACCAAGCAGGCTTACCTCCTGCAGACAGAGTGCTAGACACGAACCCGAGAAATCATGTGAGCTGGATTTAACATACCTACGGGAACAACAACATCCAAACTAGAGCAAGTAGAGAAAGCCTGCAGCAGCAGGCCGAGAGAACCTGGTTTAAAATCAGTGAACATTACCTCTTTTAGACTGTGTTTGCCATTGTCACACATTAATTAACCAGACTGTAACTGACTCTGCCACCCATAATTAACAGAATTTGCAAGTTTCTTATAATAAATGCTGTTTCTGAAGGACTGAGCCAAACTTAACCTAATTTA